TATGCGAGAGAGAGAGAGAGAGAGAGGAATTTAGGGGTGGAAGCAGCCGCCCATGAGACCCACACACCGTCCCGCACGCATAATCCCTGTGCTGCCCCATATCCCCACCCCAGAGAGAGCGGAAAAGTGGGAGCCACGATACAACACGCACGCGCAATGGAAACAACCGCCATGTCGGTGTTACAAAAAAAAAAACACCCACCACGCCCCTCTTCCCCATTATTGCAAAGAATTAATAATTTAAAAAAAAATAACAGAAAAACACATTTAAAAAATGTATCAAAAATAAATATGCAGAAGTCAAAACAAATAAATAAATATACACGGAAAAAAGGAAAACACCACCGCTGCCCCCGCAAAATCCTTTACCCTCGTCTCACCGCATGCTTTTTTTTTCTCCCCCCTCTCACTTTCACACCCACACCTCGTACGCGATCCACTTTTTGGGTTGTTGGCTCCGCCGCACAGTGGCCGTTGCTGCTGCGATGTATTTGCCTACAAAAATGTCGCACAAAAACTTTTTCTCCGATTGTCACATGCAGGCTCCTCAGGAGTGGTTGCAGCCTGCGCTCTCAAGCATGCAATTCATCACTGCCCGTGTTTTCCAGGCGAACGTGGCCCAATACTGCCGCGGCACCTCATTTGCCGCCAGCCTCCCGGTGTGGTTGCAGTAGAGGATGCGCCCCACGTCTGCCCACATCCTGTCACATTGCGTTTCTGTGTGCCCGTCGGTGTTGTATGCGTGCACTTCCCGCTCAGTGTCCCGCTTCCACCCGTGCAGCACCGTCCGCTCCTTCGCGATGATCCACCCTGCGGGTTTTGCTTCTGATCGGGTGACACGTGTCGGTCATCCGCAGCACCCCCTCTGTTCCCACTACAGTAAGGGTTTCCTCGTCCATCGAGTCAACCCCCGTAAATATGGAGGCGAGGGTCTTATTACCGTCCATGTCAAATGTCAGTTCTTCGGAGAATTGCCTGATGACACCCCTTTACCCGCCTGTTTTGAGAATGCGGCCGGTCACCTCCACCTCCACCTCCACCGGAAGCTGCAGTTACATAATGTGCAAAAAGTAGCGGAGGCTGTACCACTCCATGTCACCAAGTGTTTCGTGGGGTTCAAGCGCGGGGTCCATGCGAATACTTTTACGTAGAACTCCTCGGGCGGATTCACGCAGTAGTTGGAGCGCATTTGTTTGACTGGGCCTAGTGTTTTCACAGCTGCCATAACTTCTTCTACGCGCTTGTCATGGGAGAGCACGGTGGGGAGTCCATGTAAAGCAGCTCCTTTGCGTTGAGAGCCTCCACCCAGTGGCGCAGCTGTTCAGCCGTGGCTGCGGGGGGCTTTTGGCCCACAGCGTGCTTCCCATGCCGCACACACCTTGTCACCTACTCTTCTCCCCGCATGACTGGGACGGGCATGTAGACAACATTCACCTCAGGGGAGACCACCACCTCGTCGTACGTCGTGACACACGGGTGCCTCGTCGCAAGAAGGGCGAGTGTATCCCACATCTTCCTTTAACATACACCACCCCGCGCTCCGCATCGCGGCATCCCAATGGTCTCACTCGACGTGCCGCACGGTGGATGGAGCCCTGCATGCGGCGGGTAATGTTGGGAGCACCGAGGAGACCAACTCTCACGGGTGCCACGTCCTCCGCCATTCCGCCACGAGATATGAGGTATCAGTGCACTTCTTTCTGCGCGTTGATTGCCTTTTAAGCAAACAAAACAACATCTTGAGTTCTCCCCCCTCATCTGTTGTCGCAATTATAAAATTTCCTCCACCTGCACGCCCTCCAAGAAGAACACGCGCATACATTCATGCAGACGGACAAAAACACAGTGCAAAAGGAAAAAAAAAGGGAAACAGGCCCCATACACTGCCTGGTTGTTTCCAGGGGTGAATCCTCTCAGGCATGGCGGCAAACAAGCGCAGCGATAGTGGCAGTGGAGGTGCCACAGAAGATGCGGCTTCCCATCTGTTTTTCCCCTTTTTTTCATGCCCTCTGCGCCATGCAGTCACCTGTTCCCTCCGCATCCCCCATTTTCCTCGTTGTTATCATGGACCTCGTCGTGGCCTCAAGCATCGCATCGACTAGCGTCTGTGTCGACCACAAGCGCCCCATGTGTGCTACGGCCGCCTCCGTGCTGGTCATGAATCGCGCCACCGATTCATAGGTGCGACCCTGTGGGTGCGGCAAAAGCGTGTCCCACAGGCACTACCAGAGAAGCTCCGTACACACGTCTCCGCTGCACGAACCTCCCTCTCACGGCGCACACTACGGTGAGGGTGTTCCCCCTGCACCGTCTCATGCCACTTCACAACTACCATCAGGGGCCCTGCACGCTGCAGGCTCTGCCAGGCCCATCGCGCCGTTGTGGCGGCTCCAAAAAATGCCCACGCACAGGGGCTCGTTATGGAGCGCAGCCATCGCAGTTTTCCTGCTCATTATCTCCCATCCGTCGTTATCCTTTATATATATATATATATATAAATATGCATGGGAAAATACAGAAACACCCAGCAAGAGAACTTCAAACAAGGAGCAGAGATGCGATGATGCAGCCGCTGCGGAAGCAAGCAGGCAAAGATGCTACGCAATAATAGTTTAAGTTTTTACTCCCTACAAGGAGGAAACACTTACGAGAAACACCACCCGCGATAATCACAGTGAGGATTACGCCGACAAAAAAAAACAGAAAAATGACATATGCCTTATGGCCGCTACGGACCAACCCATCACCATTGACTACTGCCCTTCCACCAACACTATGCTCATACATTCCTTAAACATCCACACAGGCACATGCAGACGCATATATATGTATATAATTTTGTGTGTGGGTATCTATGCTTCTATTCTATGTTCCTTGCTTCTTTATTTGTGGCAAATAAAATATATATGTATGCTCTTTATTCTTTTCTCACTCACACACATACGCACACTCGCCTTGCTTTGCTTCACCGCTGGCGTGTTTCTTCTCAGGTACCGCTAGAATAAACAACAGCAGAGTACGGGTAGAAACACCAGCGCACAAACGTGAATACGCACAACGGTGTCTTCTGTGGGCCTCACCGGCGTTCCGCTGCTGTCGACAAATCCGGGGTTGTTGTCGGACCCGCCTGCGCCGCCTTGTTCAACGCCGCAATGCGCCCAATACGCTGGTATGAGCCCCACCAATCGTACCCCTGCGACCTGCAAAGCTTGTCAATGTCAAAGCTGCTCCACTTGGACTCGCAAATACCGGGCTTATACTTCATAGGGCACTTCTTACTGGCCTCCACCCATGCGTCGAGCAACTCCTCCATGGCGGGTCGCTTCAGCGTCTGGACATTGCGGAAGTGGTAAGCAACGACGGAAGGCGTTAATGCCAAGTCCTACCCATGAGCGCCAGTCACCAACGTCGGCCTCCTGAATGCCGGTGCGAAGCCAATTAGAGACATTCTCCACAGCCTCTCGCTCGGTAAAAGGAAGTAAAATCTGTGGAATCTTCGACGCCCCCTTCACAAACCCGCCGCCATCGTCGCTAGCCCTCTCCTCAGGAGCCGTCTGTGTTCGTGGGGCGTCAAAGTGAAGTAGACGCGAATACGTCCCACCCTCGCGAACACAGGTGGAGTGTAGCGCTGCGACGGAGTCGGGTACAACACCATTCGGGAATCCAATATTCCACTTCTTGTCCTCAAACACAATTATCGCGCTTGTATGGTTTTCCTTCATGCAACGATGCATTCGAAGCATTCCGTTCGGGCGGTAAATCTGCAGATCAACATGTGGAATTTTATTATGAAACCGGTGAAGGAACCCGTGGAGGGAGTGGTAGTCCTCGAAGGCCACATCCTGCAGCTTTGTGTGGACGTGAAAGGAGGCCTTTTTCAGATTTGGCGACTGCAGCACAACCTGGGAGGCAATTTTCTCTCCAATGACCTTAATTTCTTCGGCCACCACCGTCAGGGTCTCATCCAGCAGCTTTTTTTGAAATGGGCGAACCTTTGACATGCTCCAGTGTTCCTGCGGCACGGGACAGTCAATGTCCAGCACCAAGTCAATGGGTGTCTTCTCACGACCAAATATGGCGTGCACGGTGCGAATCGTGTCGGGCATGGTTGATACTGCATTGCTGGCAACGACAAGTGGCGTACCGGGCCAGGCAAAGAATTGACATCCGCCTTGTGGCAACCGCCGTGCGAATACGCCATCGCCTGGGGTACACGCTGCAAGCACATCTTCGATGCGAAACGCCTTAATCATCGGAGTTTTTTGCTGCGACAGCACATTCCTCCCTGCTTTGGGCAGAGACGTCACAGTGGAAGCAGCGACGACAGGCTCCACTACTTCGTTAATATTCTCTATTTTAGGTTGGTTCCGAACATCTTTAGCCGTAACAGCCTCTGCGGCTGCGGTGGTAGTAGTAGTAGTAGTAGTAGGAGGAGGAGGAGGAGTGGCGGTGCTAGTTACCTTGGTTTCCCCCATTCTCCTCCTGGATGTGAGGCTTTGCTGCAGGCCTCGCCTTCGCCATCTTCTTCCTGATTTTCTTCTTCAGTTGCGGTGCCTGTCCCCCGCTGCTCGCAGGATAGTCGACGGCGACGGCAGTCTCGGCCGCCTCCTTTGGAACCTCCACTGCCGGTGAGGGGGCATCCCCAACGTCATCTTTGGATTTCACGCGCCGCGCCGTGACGTCGCCGCCTGCGGGCTCACTGGGCGCCATGTCGTTCCTCACCATCTTTCGCTTCTGCAGCTTCCTGGCAAGTTTTGAAAGTTTTGGTGCCACCACCGGCTCAGCCTGTGATCTCTTCTGCATAGCGCCCTCTGCTTGCGATCGCACCGCCGCCACCGAGGCCTCTGTGTCCCCCGTTGTTGCGGGGGTCGTTGTTGCGGGTACCGCTGGCTTCGCGGCTGCTGCTGCAGCCGTCTTTGGTTTGGCATCAGCAGACTCCGTTCTGGCATTAATGCTTGCAAGCTCCGCAATCAGGCGCTTTGACACCTGACGCAGAGAAAGAGAGAAGCGAAACATGCCGTCTCTCACTCTCACTCTTTTTCTCCTAGTACCTTCCCTGCCGCGTCTTCGTTTTTCCTTAAAAAAGAGATCCACTCACCCTTTGGGTGTGTGTTTGTGTGCGGAGGTGAAGTGCGCTCCGACTACTCCTGCGCTCCTGCCACGACGCTGTGGAATGACCGTCTTCCCGGCCTTGTGTTTGCCTCCCGTCGTGTCTCGTCTCCGCAGCGACACCACCGGCGACGAACGGTACAGACGCGGCGAAACAAGGCACCTTCAGGCAGCAACGCAATCGAGACAACAGAATGAGGAATAAATAAAAAAGGGGCGTGCGGGACGGAGAGTAACGATGGAAGCTGCCGCAGGCAGCGGCTGGGCGGCACTCACAGCGACGGAAGGAAATGACAGGGGCAGTGAGCGGCAGAAGCAGCAAAAATGCAGCTGATTACAACAGAACAGTCCCACACACACAAAGAAAAAAAAACATATATGCATATTGATAGAAGATCCCCCCCCCCTCTCTCACACACACACGCACACACACACACCACAGGCATGGTGTGCGCTGATGCGCAGCGCGCGGCTACTCGTCCCGCCAGTCATTGAGTGAAGGCAAGACACCACAATGAATGGAGAGATATAAAGACCACCGGCACGTCCACCGCGGCACCTATTCGAAGACAATTCAACCAAAAAAAACACACACAACAGCCAGCGTCCCCTCCCCCCACCAAAAAAAAAAATATGACGTGAAAGAGAAAAGGAATATGAATATATGCGTGGTGACAAATAATAGAGCGAGGGAGCGGGGACGTGCCACATGCTCCCTGCCCAAGGAAAAAGATACAAACAAACAAACAAAAAGAAAAGCCACGAATGCATCGACGAGTCCAAATCCCTCTTCTCTCCTCTGCATCATGTCCTTCGTTCCACGTCTTCGCTCCTCTGCATACCCACTGCTTCTCCAAAGCTCCCCCGACTTCCTCCCTCTTCTCCTTCTTTTTCTCTACCCTCATTTCACAGTTCCTCAACATCAAAAAGAAAAGAAAAAAAGAAAAAAAGCCACGGTAGAAAGAGAGAGTGGTTGTGAGGAAGTAAGTAAGAAGAAAAGAAAAAAAAACAACAACAGCAAGAGTTACGTGTGTACCCAAGTCAATTTCCCCGCACTAAATGTTTGCGAGTACAGTGGACACCGCGGTCTTGTCATCGCCACCCATGTTCAGTGTGGCTCCCAACGCCGGGATCTTCTTGAGCTGGTAGTCCCCGCAGAGGCCCTTCATTTGGCGGTAAACCTCCATAAGTTGCTTGACGCCCGTCGCCCCAACGGGATGGCCAAAGGCGAGCAAACCACCCCCAGTGTTAACGGGTATACGTCCTTCAAGAGTAGTTTCACCGTTGCGGATAATCTCCTTAGCCTTGCCGTATTCAGCAATACCGAGGGCCTCGTACATGAGAAGCTCTGCGATACTGAAGCAGTCGTGCACCTCGGCCACCTGCAGTTCAAAGGGCTTCACACCAGCCAAGGCCAAAGCCTGCTGCGCAGCTGTGTGAGATGTCGTCATGCGTGTGGCGTCGGCGGCATCCTCGTAAAGATTGCCCGCAGCAGCGGAAAGGGATTTGATCTCCACCAGACGACTGTCATTGAAAGAAATTCCCATTTTATTCAGGCCCTCCTCACTCGCAAGGATCAATGCGGCACCACCATCACTCACCTGCGAGCAGTCTGTATTGCGAAGAAACGGCTTGTACGTCTCATTTCCGAGAAAGTTTGGGTTTCTCTCTGAGGCGTTCGTGCATAATTCCAACGATAGTTTGCGTGTATGCATATGTGCCAGTGGGTTTTTGTTGCCGTTGGCATACGCCTTCGCCACCACATGGGCGGTGTCTTCCATTGTGAAGTGGCCAGCCTCCTGAATAGCCTTCATGCGCCTCGCAAAGAGGCATGGGAATGTAAAGTCGTCAAGACCGCGCTGGCGCTTGTAGTCGGCGGCGCGCGCCAAGTAGTCGCCGCCCACGCGAGCCGACACCGTCGTTTGCACCTCCACACCTGCCACCAATGCCACCTGGGAGGTACCTGCCAGCAGCGCTTCCCACGCCACCTGCACCGCCAGCCCACCACTCGCACAGGCGCCCTCCACACGCAACGCAGGTTTGTTCATGAAAGCCGTACTGCCTTTCAGGCTGCCCACTGCTGCCGGGCCGAGATGCCCCTGCGAAGAGAAGAGCTCACCGAGAAAATTCCCAACCACAAGCTTGTCAACAAGCGCCGCACGGCCATCGTTGCTCAGGCCCGTCTTCTCCAGAGCGCCATTGATGCTGTCTGCCAGGAAATCCTCCAGCGTTTTGTTCGCCTTCTTGCCAAAGTCGGGGTGTTTCTTGTCAATAAAGAGCGGGGAGCCCTTACCCACAAAGGGGGTAATGTGGCCACCGGCGATGAAGACACGTCTCGCAGCAAGCACAGCGGCGGTACGGCGGAGCATGCTTCTTCTTCTCTGTGTGTATGTGGCTTATTCCCCCTCCCCAAAGACGACTAAAGCTACGCAATGGCGGTGGTTCAATGGATGCACAGCACCTCCTTTCTTCCTTTGCTTTATTGTTTTGAGTGTAAAGTTTACTGAAAGCAGGCAAGCACAAAAAAAAAAATAGTTTCCTTTTTCTTATTCTTATGTTTCCACTTCTTTATTGCCTTCCACCGACAGTTTTTAGTGTCGATGTTTGTATTCTTCTTCTTTTTCTGTAAAGTAACACTAAATATGTAGGTATATAAACAGGAGTGTGAATCTGCGTTTGAGGCCGGCAGTGGCAACGGGGCAGCACACGCACAAAAAAACAAAAAAAAAACAATGCAGCATTCAAGTAAAGAGAGACAGTGCGTGAGTACATGACACGTGGTTTACTTGCAGGCGGCATTTATATCCACACGGAGCCTTTTCCCACCTGTTTCCCTTTCCTTCCTCCATTGTCTCTTGCCGTTCTTCCCTCATCCCTCTCCGCTCTCTCCCATACCCACCCAATCAGTCGCAGAAGCAGGCAGGCAGGCAGGCAGGAGCAAGAAAGCAAGAAACACACACGCATACACCTACATTGGCAATACAGGTATCATTCACGCACATGGGTTAACTCCTCTTCCTCTCCTACACCACTCCCATTGATGGCCCCCACAACTCCGATCCCGACCCTGTCCAGCGTCAAGGAGGGGGGCGGAGGGGAAAGTGTCAGGCCCGGAGTACAGCAGAAACAAAACAAACCGCAACAGCCATAACAGGGGTTCACGCACGCATCCCCACACACCCACCGCCACCGATGCAGCACTCGCCAAGAAAAAATATCAAAAAAAAAGCGCGGAAACAACACACAAATACAAAAGTAAAGACATGTGTTTAGAGTGAGAAAGAGGCCACTAGCCCCGAACGCGATGCCAAGCGTAGAGCAGCAAAAACACAACGATGTGGAAGTGGTCAACCAACATGTAAGTTGGAGCAACAGGAGCAAGGCGGCGTCGAACGTTTCACGCGGAGGAGGAGGAGGAAGCAAACAAGACAAAAACAAAAGCACACATACGCACACATAGAAAGAGAAAGGTATATATGGGGAAATAACAAGGAAAGAGAGTAAATACCGCGCGCACACAGCATTCAGCTTCCCCTCGTCTCATTCGCTTCCGGTTTCGCTTGCAGTGATTAAGCCCATCCATGCACACGCAAGAAAGTCTGTCGTTGTATCTACGTTGTTTGTCGTCATGTTGCCGCAACCGCAACCGCGACCCACCGCCCCCCACTCGCCAAGAAAACCAAAATGTATATATATATACAAATATATATATAACAACAATGAAGCAGACGGCAGGTACCCGTTTACGATGCCCCATAGAAACACATTTCGTGTGTGTATGTGCATATGAAGAGAGATATGTATTCCTCTTTGCAATCCCGCCTGCCACTGCAAATTGGCGGACAAGCAATGAAAACAAGGTATGCGTTTACAGCAAAACCAAAACTCCCGGCAACCACACCAGAAAACAAAGAAGAAGGCAAAGAAAAAAAAAGTGAAGGGGAAATAAGAAAAAAAAAAAGGAAGAGGCCACAGTAATAAAAACGCCTGCGTACAATCTCTCACAGACACATTTACGGCGCCCTACCGTGCATTCTGCAGTGCACGCACGTAATACACAGACCGTGTGGAACGAGGCAGGCAGTTATTTTCATTGTGCATTCGTTTCCCTTTTTTTTTTTGCTTGTTTGTTCATCTCTCTTTTTTCCTCGCGTCTTCTTTCCCCCGTCGCTCCGCTCCCCCGTGCGGCAACCGTTCAGCCGGAAGGGGAGGGGATGAGAGTGCCACCGGCTGGAAGGCCGCCCCACCAGGCACGACGAAACAAACACCCGCTGCAGAGCCCATCCTTGTCTTCTTCAACACCCGCACGTCGGCCATGGATTCATTCGTGTGCCATGCTATTTTTTTTTTACGCGGCAACACTGTAGACAGAAACGCCCGTGCCAAACACGGTGGCAGTGCACCCGGCAATTAGCAGGAAGTACGTTGTAAAGTGCAGGAGGAATCCCTTTCCCTTCAGCGTGAAGTTGCCGTGGTACATGTACACCAATGAGGAAAAGATGTATCCAATAAAGCCGCCGCAGAGGGAACCCACGAGACCAAAGGCAAACAATGTTGATGCTGGGCACAAAGAGGCCAGCTATCAGAACGGCAAGGGATAAAGAGGTGCAGAAAACAGCGTTCTGTCCCCACGGCATCGGATACACATCCCAGCCAAGCAGGTGATAAATACCGTCCCGCATTGATATCTGATGGAGGGCAAACGCCACATCGACCTTAAAGGTTATGCCAAAGTATGCAATAACAAACAAGGCGCTTTTTGCCCGGCTGATACACGAAAAGAATGGAGTCGATCAGTTTTTTCCCAAAGCGCATTTACCCAAAGAAGCTGGCCAAAATGCACAGCAGTCAACATGTACTCATGTCGATGGCACCGTCCCGCATCATACGATGTGGTGAAGGATGGGACGTCTCAAAATACGCCTCAAACGCATTAATTTGCACGACAAGCAAACATAACCATACCAAGACCCTCAATCGCACTGTCGCCTGTGTCGAGCATCTCAAGCTCCTTGCAAAAATCGTTTTTGTAAGTGTAGCTGCTTGCATCAGTGACAATTCATATCCACAAAGAAGAGAATGGGAAGGCACCCCAGCAAATGTATATGCCGTAGGGAATTCATCTGCTTTGGTGGGCAAAGCGGAAAAATACACACCAGCCACACCATACTCTTAATCAGTTGATTGTTGGACATGGTCATCAGATGGTGTGGAACCCCCTCGTTCTCAAAGACTGGTGTCAGCAGGTTCAAAATGGAAGTGATGTAGCCAACTCCTCCACCAATACAAAAGCTGCATGTAAAAATGGACACCAACCAGTCCAGGCCGCAGCCCATCAGGACCGTCATGGTATCCTCGTAGATCCGTCTCTTGGCGACGTCTGAGCAGTGGGCGAGCAGCCAAAGTGAAAAGACTGTCAGAATCATCACGACAACCAGCAGTATGATGAACAGCATATACCCGGTCATGTTGGCCGCAAAAGGGTTAGAGAAGAATACCACCACCAAACGTCGAGATTCCAAGCTGAAAACCACTTAACAGCACTCCACCAAAAGGAAAGATATACTCCAGAACTCGCTGCGTCACACCCTGCTTCTTTCGCCTCCTTATCTTGGGGAGGCGTCGGTTCCTTCCTGGATAAATTCTCAAGCAAACTACCAATATTTATTGCGCTTTGCACCTGTTGAGTACTATTTTCTCTGCTCGCGTGCGACGTCGCCAACGAATCTCGGTGATGCGTGTATGACAGCTGGCCGGCATAAGGTGCCTGGACGGAGCTTGAGGGGGGTTCACTCCCTCCATTGTACTCGTCCGGACCCGTGTGTGAAGTGTGATTCACCGTTTATGATTCGCTCTTCCGCATACGACTTCTCGTAGCTCTCACTGCATGTGTGTGTGTGTGTGGTATGAAGGAGTGACGCAAAGGCAAAGGAAGAAGATAAGGATGAGACACCGAGTAGGAAGAAGAGAGCGAGCATCCGGCGCAGGCACGCCTCCACGTGCCATCTGTGCATTTCTTCCCTCACTCAGGACGCCAGCAACAACACGCCGGAAAAAGCCCTGACACACACACACACAACGAAGAAAAGAGCACAGCCTCAAATAAAAAAAAAAAAAACAGAGGAGGAGACCAATATTCTGAAGCAAAAGAGCAATGAGATAAAAATCAAAAAAAGAGGTTCACACAACGCAGGTAGAGAAATGCATTATACGCGCTGGGATGACATAGTTGTGTGCACACGACGAAGGGAATAAAGGCGCAAACACACACGCAGATGCGCAGACGCATAAATCTCCAGAGTATCACCCGCTTAGTCGAAAAAAAAATAATAATAAACATTCAAGCTAAAACCAAAACAAAATGTTGATGCGCTTGCGGATCTATACACGTCCATTAATTTAAGCATCCACGTCATTCCACTTCCTATTCCGCCATTCCCCTTGCATCCATGCACGTATTTCTTCTCAGTCTCAGTCTATGCATCTGTTGGCATGTGTGTTTTGTTATTTCAATTGTCCAATCCGTACGTGCCCTTCATTTAAGTTGCCTTAAAATGACAGATGTCACTGCGTGTCCCACGTGGGGAGAAGCTCGCGCCACCACGCGTGTACCTCCGCTGCCCACGTCATATCGACACCCTCTTCCTCCCCTCAATGAGGTCCGCCACAATGCTTGGATCCGAGAGGGTCGTGACGTCGCCAAGGCCGTCAAAGACACCGGAGGCAATTGTTCGCAGGATGCGACGCATAATCTTGCCGGATCGCGTCTTCGGGAGTCCAGTCTGTGCCGATTGGACGTGATCGGGTGTTGCCAATGGCCCAATCACTTTGCGGACCGTCACCTTAACTTCATTGAGAAGCGCCTCATCAATGGTGATGTGCTGGTGAAATGTGACGTAGACGTAAATGCCTTCGCCCTTCACATTGTGCGGAACGCCAACCACGGCGCTCTCCACAACAGCAGGGTGTGTGTTCACGGCGTCCTCCACCTCGCTGGTGCCAATGCGGTGACCACTAACGTTCAACACGTCGTCCACGCGGCCGGTGATCCAGTAGTAATTGTCCTCATCACGACGTGCACCGTCCCCTGTCAAGTAGTACCCGTCCACAGAAAAGTAGATCTGCTCGTAGCGTTCACTGTCCCCAAAGATGGTACGGGCCTGCCCCGGCCACGGACGCTTGATCACAAGGAGCCCCTCCCCAGGACCGTCAATCTCCGCGAGCGTCGTCGGATCCAGCAAGGCTGGCTCGATGCCGAAGAACGGCAGCGTTACGCTTCCCG